AGGACACACAACAACAATAATATAAAGTCACTCTCCATGTAAAATTGTTTCCGATGATGCCCCCCAAAATATCTTTAATTAAAAAATGAGAGTAGTGTCTCTGTTACTTCCTAAAGATGTAAAGCTGATATAAAAAAAAACAGAATTTTTTAAATTTAGGATTCTCCTTCCAGGTTGTTTATTTTTCTCCTCACTGATTGGATTTCCATCTGTGTCTTTTTCCTATTGGAATACCCTTCATTTTTTCAATTCAATTTGCTCTTTACCATGCAGACCTGTGAATGAAGAGTCAGAGTCCTCTGAAGTGGAAGCATCCGGCCGGTGGCATGGTGTCTATGTTAACAGAACCTCCCCCACACCGTCAGAGTCTGTAACCACTGTTAAGTCTCTTATCAAGTCGTTTGACTTGGGACGTCCAGGTATTTAAACATTTTATTTTATAAGCAAAACTTCAAACATTGGCCCAGTGTACCTAGCCTGTTTCTACGTGGGCCCTAAGTTGGATACAATCAAAAGAGCTCTTTCTAGACCATGCCACATTCAGCCTGTCTACAAGAGCCTGTAAGTTGGTAGAGCCTGGCAAAGGCTCCTGGGAGACAGCGGCGGAGAGTCTAGCTCATGTTTAATACAAATACAGTCTCCTCTCCACCTCCACCTCTTCCTTGCCTCCAATTCTTGTTGCCATTTCTTTTCTGCCTCCTGTGTGCATTAAATTAACATCAGTACTCTTCGCCATCCTACCACCTCACGAGAATCAGCAAAGTCAAAGACTTCATCTCCTAGGACATGGGACATAGAATCTAATCTATGCATTTGACTTTTTTGTTGGGACCTTTGGTCTGCATCATCTTGCAGTGTGTTGTTAGACTTTTATTCTATCCAGTATTGTGAATGAGCACTTTGTGATCTGTCATTCCCAATCTTGGTACATTCCTAGCTTTTTCTGGAACTATCCGACTGACTTCCAGTTCCTCTTTAATTTGTTATTATCTATATGTGTGAGCAAAATACATAGCCGTATACTTACACTCTGGTAGCGTAGTGGTTACAAATCGGGCTGCGAACCTTAAGGTCAGCGGTTCGAAACTACCAGCCGCTCCGCGGGAGAAAGATGAGGCTTTCTACTCCCGTAAAGATTTACACCCTCGGAAACCCTGTACAGGGTCGCTATGGGTCAGAACCGACTCGACGGCACTTAACAACAACAACAACATACTTACACACAAATAAATAGAAGAAATAGAATATGCTTTTATCCATAATATACACCAGAGCAATATTTTTCTTACCTTTGATTGTAACAAATATGCCCATTGTATTGGAAAACTGCAGTAATAGCTAATTCTACAATGGCACCTAACAACAACAATAAAATGTAATGTATCTGAGTGTGTCTGCTAAAATAGTTTACAGCTAAATTAAGATTAGGATTAAACTACATGTATTGAAAAATATTAAAGCCCAGTGAATACATTCAGTCTGTGAAGATGGGAAATGAATTAACGATAATGATTTGTGCAAAACCTTTGTAGTCCTTTCTTGTCATACATACATTGTTACACCACGTTTTCTTTTTACTCAGATTCCTCCCTGTAAATCCAATCCTTCATTCTGTTAACTCCTTTCTCACTCCCCAGTTCAACCCTATTCCAGAAGAGAGAAGGGTAAAAGAGTAAACATTATATAAAACATCATAGAATGTTTTCCTAGTCACCAAAACAAGTAAAAACAAACCTCAAATTGTTATTTGCTGTTTTTTGAACAACCTATGCATCTTCCCTTCTCTTTTCTGGGCAGGTGGAGCTGGACAGAATATTTCTGTCCATAAGACTCCTAGAAGTCCCCTGAGTGGAATACCAGTGAGGACTGCTCCAGCCGCTGCTGTTTCTCCAATGCAGGTATGACGAGCGTGTTTGTGGTTGGGTGGTACCACGATGATCTTTGATACATGAGCAACTTAGGAATTAAAAAGCAATTGATACATTTTTTGAGTCACATCAGACATCTTGTCAATAAGCCCAAAATAGCAGTAATGAAACATTTACAAACATTTTCCTTTTGGTTCCAAAGTGACACTGTAAACTTCATATTGTTTTGCTTTTTTTTTTTTAAAGTTTTTACTATGAACTGAGTGATAGTTTACATAAGAGAACATCAGCTTTACACCATCATTTCATTGCAGTGATTACAATCTCCTCCTCCATGCATCATCATTCAACAGTGTTTGCTTCCATTCCCTATTTCTTAAACTTGATATTGTTTTATTAATAACTCCCTTTCTTTGCTTCTCATAAAGGAGCCCCAGTGGTGCTGTGGGTTAGGCATTGGGCTGCTAACCACAACGTCAGTGGTTCAAACCCACCAGCTACTCCACAGGAGAAAGAAAAATCTCCCATAAAGATTTACAGCCTCACAAACCTACATAGGGTCACTGTGAGTCAAAATCAACTCCATGACAGTGAGTTTGGTTTTGATTCCCATAGATGACACTTTTGATGTTTTTAATTAAATGAGAATTTTAGACATTGAGCAGATCTCAAAGAAATGGTTTTTCATTTTGTTTGTTTTTTATGCCTCCAAAATAGAAAGTGTTTACAACTGATAAATTCTCAGAGTTCACTGTATATCATTTTTGCCATCTTCTGAAGATTTTAAGACCAGTGTTTCTTGGAGTTATTCTCAAACCAGGACTTTGATGTTATAACATTCAACATACGGCTCCTGCTAAATTAAGATTGATGTTGTTATTACAAGTACTATTTTTGTACCAAGGAGCTTTAGTAGAATAAATGAAAAGGTGGGAGAAAGCCCTGGAGATCTGTCCGTAAAGATGGTTGTTATGTGCCTTTGAGTCAGTTCTTTACTCAGAGTGTTTCCAAGTCTGGAGTCTTTATGGCAGCAGGCCGGTAGGTTTTTCTCATGTAGAGCCCGTTAGCAGCCGCATGGTCCCAGCCAAGCGCCCTCCTCTGTCCCATGGGATCACAGTGAATTGAAATAGATTCTACAGCACCTAACAACCACAACAAATTTTGTGTCCTTAGTAGTTATGTATATTGTTTGGGATTTTTTTTTTTTCTTCGAGAGGAGTAATGTTTCTTTGTTGCTTTTTTTTTTTTTTATTGTTTTATTGTGAATTATGTGATAGTTTACATGGGAGAACATTAGTTTTACATCTCTCCTATCGTATATTGTTTCAATGCCATGGTTACAATCCCCTCCATGCATCAACAACCAACCAAAGGGTATACCCTGCAAGCCTGCCTCCTTGGTTGTCAGCACACAGCCCCTCTCCCTCTGTGTCTAAAATTGTTTGGGATCTTTTATATTTTATTATTTTATAGCTAGTAGAAAGTAAAACTTATGATTTATAGGCCCTTGAAGGTATCTTTCATCTTATATGTAAAACTAAATAAAATGTTTTTATTTTATGATTATCATCGTTTATTTAATAAGTCTGAAACAAGTCATACTTCGTTTGTACTAGTTTTTACTGAATTTTGAACACTAGTTCACTGGTAAATGTTTAATAACTGGCTCTCTTGAAATCATCCCTGATTTTTAGTGTTTGCCAATTTCTGTGGTTTACATATTCCCATTGTGGCCAATTTCAAGGTATCAACACCAGTGTTAAGGAAAATTTCCCCTTATCTAGCACTTCTCAGAAACCCTATACAGGGTCGCTATGAGTCGAAACCAACTCGACAGCATTTAACAACATCTGTACAGATAAAGTAGACATAGTCTCAATAATACAAGAATTAGGAAACACTGAACTTTTAGTGTTTATTATCTTTCCTTCTAATACATTTAATTTTAATAGTGACTGTTTTTGACAAGTGGCTCCCAATCTTCCTGAAAATTTAATAGTAGGTTCTAATGAGCAAGGTGTGCACCATCCCCATCGAACCACTGACTAGAATTCATATGCTGTAAATCACCCATCTCTTGAATGTATAGCTTGAATTTTTTTTTTTTTTTTT